AGCAAATAGAGTTCTAAGGAAGTATATAGAGGTTAAAAAAGAAAAATAAATTTGAAAAAATTTTACATTTAAAATCTCAAAATTTGTCTTGTGATAAACTTACCTGGTGTAATGCAGTTGGAATCAAATCTGGCCTCTGTAGGAAGAGTTTCTCCTTTTTCTATTGCCTTTTTAATTTTGTCTTCCGCTTCCTTTGCTGATCTTAAAGATTAGGGAGGAAAAAGTCACTTGAAATTTGCAGAAAAAAAGTAGAGATCTTTAGAAAAAGCAACTGTTGGTTAGATGCATTTATAACTAAAATTCTTATTCAGTGATTCTAGAATTCAAAACAATCAAGTTTTGACATAATTATGATTGATAAAGATTCCCAGAAACTGCTTTTATTTAAAGTGAGTTTTTCAGATCAATACCACAAAAGTAGGACATTACAATACTATAAAAGTGACAGTGTTACAGATAAAGTAATTATTTTCTATAAAGTACACAGAAATTGATTTTCGAAAGAGTTCAATTTAGTTTTAAAGTTCATTATATATGAACTTTAAAACTAAATAAAATTAAAGTTCTTGTTTAATAAAATTAAACAAGAATTGCATTATTAAAATGAAGTCTAGAATATTATGTAAACTATACCCATAAAATTATAACACATATCATGCATGCCAATATTACTCAAAAAATGAAATGAAAATGCAATAACGTAAAGAAATCATTTGGCAGTATCAACTTTTTTTTGGAGGGGGGGTGGCTATTGAATTTACTAGCAAGAACAACAGTTCTAGAGTCAGATGTACCAAAGTTTGAATTCAGGCATCCAATTTCTGTTAGCTTCTCCTTAACCCATTTGTACTACATCAACATGCCATGTCACATAAGTTAGGATATTCAGCTATAAATACATTTTTTAAAATCCTTGCTGCTAGTTTCATCTGTTGTGCTCTGTGATTTGCTATTTCTGTGATGGACAATTTTTATTCATATTTAACCTCTTTCTAATCCACCTCTTCAATATAACAAAAACTCTGAAAATGCCAACTAATTTGTATCTCTTTTAATGGGTTCCCTTCCCTCTTTTCTCCCTTTCCTACTTTGACTGAATACCGCACCCCCCCACCCCCTTCTGCACTTCTGGCCTGTACCCCAGTTCTTGTGTACATAAATAAATAAAGCTTAAAAAAAAAAGGACACAAATATCAGGAATTTTTATACATAGGAGCTCTGTAAAGAGATATCCGTCATAAACAAAAATTTGAGTCATCAGTATGGACAAATTAAAACCACGAGGTAAGATTATGTAGGACCCAGGATGGAACACTAAGAAATACCAATATTTAAGAAAAACACTAAGCGCCAGAGCAGCCAGAGGTCTTCTGAGCTACTATGAGACCCCACCAGCTCCCACCCACACTGGTAAACCCTGGGCCTGCACCAGGAGAGGTGCCAATGCACTAGAGGCCTCGTGACTTCTTGTGAGATTCCACTAGCATCTGCCCAGATGGCTGAAAGCTGGATCTGTGCTGGGGGAGGTGCCAAAGAGGCCAGAGACCTTATGATCTCCCTGGAGACCCACTAGTACCCACCCAGACCCTGAGACCCAGATCCATATCAGGGGAGATGCCAGAGCTGTTAGAGGCCTTCGTACCTCCTATGAGAACTCACCAGTGTCTGCCCAGAACAGTAACACCCTAGACCCATGCTAGGGAAAGTGGTCTTGCAACTTCCTTTGAGATGTAGCCAGCATGCTGAGCATGTTTGACATGTCAGGTGCATGTCTGAGCTGCCAGAATCTTTAAAACCTTCTTCAAGACCCTGCCACTACTTTCCCAGACCAGTAAGAGCACAGATCTGTATGGAGGGGGTGACAAGGTGGCCAGAGTCCTTGCACACTCCTATGAGACACTACCATCTACTCACCCATACAGGTAATATATCTAACCAGGGAAGGGAGAAGAGCCACAACCAGAGGAAGCTTCACATACAGCATCTTGGCCCCAAAGGAAATACTGGGAAAAGGAAAACCCAAGAAACGGCAACATGAGTCATCAAGGGAAAAGCAGAACAGAGAGAGAACAAATTTCCAGAACCTAGCTTCAAAAACATGGAAGATATATTCTCCCTAGAAGAATATATAATAAAGAAATTCAAAGGAATGGAAGAAAACTCAGAAAAACAAATGAATGTCTTTAGAAATAATATCAATGAACTAAAGATAGAAAATGAAACTCTAAATTAGATAAAAATAGAGTTCAGGATTTAAAAAGTGAAATACAAGAGATGAAAAATTCAGTAGAAAGTTATAGAAGTAGAATAGATCAAATGAAAGAATGAGTCATTGTAACTGATGATGCAAATGTACAAAGAACCAGGGTTCAGGAGGAAAGAAACAAATTTAAAAAAAATGAAGAAATACTCTGAGAATTATCTGACCCTATGAGAAAAGGAGAATAATGAGAATACCAAAGGGGGGGACCAAGAGAAAAGAACAAAACAAGTATTTTTAAAAATAATGGAGGAAAATTTCCCAAACCTAGTGAAGAGAATAAATGTATAAATCCAGGAAGCTAAAAGAACCCTGGTATACCTAAGTAAAATAAGAATGACACAAACACATATAGTAGTGACACTTCCAAGAGTTCAGGACAAGGAAAAAATGTTGAAGTTAGCAAGGGGGAAGAATCAGATAACCTATAAATGTACTCACAGAGATCAAGCTAGTATCAGACTTCTCTGAAGAAACACTATGGATGACCAGGAGAGAATAGAATGACATGTTCCAAATACTTAAAGATAAAAACTGCCAACAATGAATACTCTACCCTGTACAACTCTCATTCAGACAAAAAAGGAGAAACAAAAGCCTTTCAGACAGAAAACCAAGAAGCTTGCAAACACAAAACCAAGAAATAGTGAAAGAAGCTTACATATCCACGTTGAAGAGAGGAACAAAAATTAAGAATAAAATGGCTGCAACAGACTATTAGCTATCACTAAATGTAAATATCACTAAATGCAAGTGGACTCAGCTCACCAATTAAAAGACACAGAGTATTCAGTTGGATCAGTAAACATAACCCAATCTTCTGCTGTCTCCAGAAGACACATGGCAACTCTAAACATAGGCTCAAAGAAAAGAGCTAAAAGGCAATCCTATAAGCAAAAGAAGGCAGGGACAGTGATACTTTTATCAGACAAAGTAGATTTCCAGTTAAAAAAAAGTAACAAGAGAAACAAAGGGAGGGACACTGTATAATGATTAAGCAAATGATACACCAAGAAAACAAGACACTCAGCAATGCATACCCATCAAATAAAGGAGCAACAAAATACATTAGGAAACTAATATCAACTCTGAAAAGTTCAAAGAAATTGGAAAAAAAAACACATTTGCAGTTGGTGGCTTCAGCATCTTACTCTCACCAACAGCTAAATTAACTGAACAGTAAATAAATAAGGCAACAGTAGCCTTTACCAGAGAGTTAAGATCACATGGACCTAGTTAACAGAATCATCCACCATGACCAGGCAAGATTCATACCAGTGATACAAGGAAAGTTTATTTAACACCTAAAAATCAACCAACACCCAAAAATCAATCAACACAATTCACCACATCAACAAAAAGGAACATAAAAAGCCCTATCAATAGATGCTGAGAAAGCAGTTAATAAAATCCTTGAAAAACGAGGAATAAATGGAACACACGTTAACATAAAAAAAAAAGTCATTTGTAAGAAATTTAGTTAGTATCATTCTCATTGGTGAGCAATTGAAAGCTTTTCCACTGGTACAAGACAAGTAAGTCCACTGTCACCACTAGTAGACAATATAGTATTGGAAGTTCTAGCTAGAGCAGTTAGACAAGAGAAAGATATAAAATGAATCCTAAGTGGGAAAGAATAAGTATAGCTATCACGATTTGCAGATTATATGATAATATAAATAGAGAACCCTCAAGATTCCATTGAAAAATTAACCAAAATAACCAATTTACCAAGGTGGCAAGGTATAAATCAACACACAAAAATCAACTGCTTTCCTATAAACAAACATGAAATAGACAAGGAAGAAATTAAGATAGTGATCCTGTCAAAAAAAGAAATAGAGAATGGAGATATCACCCTTCAATCGTACCTCAAGTTATAATACCATAATAACTAAAACAGTCTGATCATGGAACAGAGACAGACACAGTGCATCACACTAAAACCCAGAAATAAATCCACACATATATGGACAGATAATATAAGACAAAGGAGTCAAGCACATATACTGGATCAAGGATAGCCTCTAAATAGTTTTGGGAAAACTGAACAGCTGCAAGCAAAAGAATGAAACTAGACCATTCTCACACCTTAAGTACAGATCACTTGAAAATGTTAAAGGCTTGGATACAAGACCTGAAATCACAAAATACATAGAAGAAAACAGACAGAAATTTACATCATAAGCTTTGACAATGTCTTTGGGGACTTACCTCATCAGCAAGGAAAAAAAGAGCACATAAACCATGGGACTACATCAAACTGAAAAACTTCTGCATAGTGAAAGAAACCATAACTAGAATGAAAAGACATCCCACTGGGATGAAAATATTTTCTCCCAGTGGGAGAAAATATTTCCACACCACTGCCCACCTATGACCATGCAGGTGCTTCTTTCCACCCGCTCTCTCCCTGTGCGGGCAGCAGCCTCCTTGCCTGCCCGTGACCATGCCAGGATTCTCTGCATTGCCCTTCCCCAGCGGAGGCCGCTCTCTGTCTGTAACCATGCAGGCCTCTCCCTCTGCAAACCTGTCCCTTTCCGGGGAAGCTCTTCCTGCCCACTTGCACCTATGCAAGTGCCTTTTCCTCTCCTGTCTCTTTCTAATAAACTTACTCTTTAAATATAACTGAGTCTGTCTTGTGAAGAATCTCACTGTGTGCCGTTGAAAGGGGAGCTTTGGTAAAACCTTTCCCAGAGTGAACCCAAGAACCCCAAACTCAAAAAAATGACATCAGTAGTATTTAATTGTACTGGTGCCACGGGTGGGTCAGTTTTATGGTGTTTTTCTGGAAGTCATTCTTGAATGCTCACCTAGATTTGTTTTTTGTTTTTTTTTTAATAAAGATTTTTGTATGTACCTACTTCTCTGTATTACAAACTTTTCTGCTGAAAATTGCTAGGTTTTCAATCACCTACAACTGAATTCTAACTGATGCCTTGGGTTTACATAATCCTTTCTCAATATTAGACTTTCTATCCTGTTAGTTCCAAAAACTAGTTTAAAAAAATACCAGAGGAGTCTGATTAAAATTGTTTTGAGGGTTAAATTCTCAGAGATCTGGATTAAGGAAGTTTTGGATTGGTACTTGGGAATCTAAATTTCAGTAATGGATTTCTTCATGGATTTCATAGTTGTACTAATATTTTCAGTATCTTTTTACTTCTAATATTAAGTCAGTATTTTTTTAACATTCTCACCACTTACTCATCTTCTGGGTACTCTTCCTCCTACCTTGAAGAATTCTACATTTGATTCACAGCCCTTTCCACTCCCTTAACAGCCATTATAATGAAAAATTCACTATGCTAATGATCCAGTGAACACAATGGACACAGGATTCTTTCCTTTAATTCTAGCAACACTCTTAACTTCTACTATTTATAAATAAGGACACAGCCTGACTCACTGCTATGTCCACAATTTTGACTTTAAACTCTGTCTACAACTTCCTCTCACCTTTTACTTTTCTTACTACCTAGATCACATACCAGTACTGATAATACCTTTAATATTAAGCTCAGTTCTCTTCCCATACTCCATCAGTCCCCATCTAAGCCCAGTAGCCATTTCCCAATCTAGCCCAAGGCCTGGGCATTCAGCAAATGTCAAAATTAAGTGTCAATGATGTTCTCATTAGAACAATTTCTCAGTTCACTTAACACAAACAACTGTAGGGGCTTTCTCTTGTATTAACATTTCCAAATTACCAACAAGAAGTTTAAAAATTTGTGACACAGAGTAACTTCATACAGCTCTGAGTAAAGGCTGATCTCATCTCAATCATTTACTTCATGATTTTTACGACATTTTTGTAAGTATAAGATATTTCCACTTCTGGTGAAATGTAAGCAGAAACGAAACATGAACTGAGGCTATATCATGTTAACTACTTTTAAAATGATTTTATTAATCTAAACAACACTGTAAAATAAACCTAAATATGTTACCTAAAGCGTCTCCCACGCTGCTGGTTCATTTTCGCTCGAGGAGCCACACCATCAACTGCCATAAAGAATACTTTCCTAGGTTTAATAATGCGAAACAACACCTCTAAGTAGTGAAAAATATCAGTAAAGATTTTATCATCTGAAATTCTGAAGTGAACATCATCATCATTAGGATGGGAACATTGGTGTATAATTCCATTCATATCCAGGTACAAATTATCAAATTCAGGAATCTAAAAAACAAAAGAAAAATGATCAAGATCATTATTATAATCAATCATGGATAACTCAGCAAGCACGAAGAGCAGCTGATATAAAGGGTTTAAGTCATTTACCAATTTAAAATAAGATAAAAGAGAACAATAAAATATTTAGTTTTCATTTTTCCTATTTGACATTAACTTCTCTAACTTCATCTTTAAATGGATAACATAATGTCCATTTATATCAAGAGAACGTACAGTTTAAAATGTTTTAAAGATTAAAGTCACTGCATACTTGGTTATACTGACACAGTGATTCACAGAAATATATGCCACTGATTGGTTATATTAACTTAAAAAGTTTAGATTACACCAAGAAATTTAAGAAACTATGAAAACTGATTTCTTATTTTTGATACGTAGATAAAATAATTTATAAATTTTGGCTATGTGAGATCTATTTGCTCTGGCTCTCATGTATTTTTGCTTTGTGAGCAAGGAGCAAGACAGGGAAATACAACTGAAACAAATACTGACCAACAAGGAACTGAAATGGGAATGATTTAATAACTATATTTCTGTAATTTTATATTCAATCAAATTTATACTTTAATTCCTTTTCAGTGTAATTTTCTACAACTTTAGAGTAATCTGACTTACATAGTAATTAAACTACTTAGAATCTTCAAACATAAAAACATAATAGCCTTTCCTTATATAAACTTATATAAACCATCTCTGAAACAACCAACCACATGCCTTTTGCAGCAATGTGGATGGAGCTGGAAATAAGCCAGAAAGAAAAGGAAAAATACCAGATGATTTCACTCATAGCAGTAGTATAATGGACCAGCTGAGAAAATAATAATAATAATGAACAGCCATATACCAGAGACAATTTATGGGGGTTGAGTGGGGAATGGGATCAAAAACGGTGGTGGGGGGGAGGGAAATGCACTGGACTATGGTGATGGCACATGGGTGATTTGGTGTTGGGAAGCCCATGGGGATTACAACTGTGATGGGAAAATGCACAAAATGATGTAAAAACAAAAAACAACTATTATTAAAATAAAAAAAAATTGTATCTCACTTTATAGAAATATTAAGTCCAGATGGATTAGATTTTAATGAGCAAAGTAAGTTAAAATTTACATACAAATATTGTATAATCTTAAGAGTAGGTAGGGCATGTCAGTTGTCACAGCCAAACAAATGGTTGACTTGATCTAAAAATTTATTTTTAAAATCTATAAGAATGGGGAAAAGTGTCATAAATAAATTCAATTGAAAATGACAATATGCAGGGGAATATTTGCAAATGAGGACAAAGTCAATTCCTAATGAAAAAATTCTCAAGTGTAGGAAAAGAGCAACTTTGAAAAGCATGGAAAATACAAGATGGTAAAAAAAAGAGAGACACCACACACACACACTTCTAATAAACACTAAAAGATATTCAATATTCCAAAATTTCAAATTAAAACAATCCATAATTTTTTCTGAACATATTAGCAAAAGAGTGCTGTGTTACCCAAGATGGGCAAGGTCCTGGGGAAATGTCGTTACATGCTACTAAAGGCAACAGTAGACCTTATATTAAGTACTTACTAGGTGTAAATTGTTTATGTTGATTCTCTTAATTGTGATGATTTTAAAAATGAAGTATTTAATTTACATTTTATAGAAGAGAAGTAGCACAAAGCTATAGAAGAAAAGTGGTTGTAAAACACCAACCATCAAGGATTAGAATATAAATTGGTATAAATGTTAGGGGGAAAGGATGTCCTGAACTAACTCTACATATACAGGTTTTGTGGACTCCACCCTCACTCCAGACCAGAAGTTAAGACACTGGGACTATAAATCACAGGGAAAATTGCTGGGACCTGAGGGTGGAGTTAAACAGGCAGGCTTGATATAAAAACAGACATGGGGCCCTCCCTGGTGGCGCAGTGGGTTAAAGCACAGCACTGAGAAGCTAAAGCCACTTCCGCATGA